TTTTAGAATTTAGTTGTGAGTTCACCATTGATTGAGGAAATTAGTGGATATTCTCTTTTGTTGATGTTACTATCTGATTAGCGTCAGCTCAAGTGATCGAATTTTACAATAACGAAAAAGATATATTTCTTTTTATTTAGTTCAACTAAAACGTCAGTAATTTACAAGGATACGGATGTCTCCGGCATGACGGAGGATGCCCGGGGACGACGGGACTCTTAAGGTGGAGTAACGTTAGGATGACAGAGTTTGTATAAGGAAATTAGGATGCATCCGGCATGACAGAGGATGCCCGGAAGCGACAGGAAAAGGGAGAAAGAACAAGAAGGTTTTCAGGCGGCACCGAGAAGATGCTGTTTCCCTGTATGAGGAAAGACGTTTGAGTTGAATGCAGTAGATTATATAATTTCAAATTTCGTTTATATATTCCGTGAAACGCCGATTAACGAATTAATTTAGGAAATTAGGATGCCTCCGGCATAACAGTGGATGCCCGGAGACGATGGAAATCTGGGGTCGGCTAAACTAATAATGAATCCTTTTGGGGTAAAGACAGGAGAATGCAGAAGTCTCCGGCATGACAGAGGATGCCTGGAGAGATCTTAAAGGAAGGGGGGTACTCGACGCTTAACGGATGAGAGCTATATAATTTTAATTAATGATTATCTTGACGCTTGCCAGAATAAAATGATAAGGTATTGCGATTTTATGCTGATTAGGAAAGGAATACTATCAGCAGCATGCCGGTGCTTGACAGTATTATTATTTATTTATTTAATCTTCTATTTCTTGTTTCAGGAGGTATAATGAATGCAAGGAAGGTGAACGAACAATTGAATTTGAAAACGAGAGATTAAAATAAAGAATATAAAAGAATCTGGTACTTACCACCCCGAGATGAAATTCTGTTGATTGTAGTCGCCTTCGTATACGGGAGGTCTCAGTCTTTCCAAAAAAATGGACACGGTAAATATGCACAATTATAGCTCTTTATTCGAAGTCCACCGAGAGGAATAGCAAATTGACAAAAATTAACTTAATTATTATTAATAGCTAGGATATACGAATAATAACGACACTTGACAAAACGACTGGTAGCAAGTCCTTTCTACTGAATGGTTATTATTACTACTGTTCTTCGCGCCCGAAATCCGGGGTTTATATACTGGTAATTCCTTTGTTACTTGCATGATCTTTTGCTAAAGGAATTCTCGAGTAAGGTGATCTCTTCATCGGACCACGTCGTACTCGGAAGCACCACCGACTTTCTTATCAATTGTTTAGACATAGATATCTTTTCATCGAAACGCGGCGGTGATCAAAGGGTAACGCGTGAATTTCATCGGAGGTGTCGGTTGACGTCTCCGAAAAGTCGATGTTTGACATATTTATGACTTCCTCTTTGATTACCTCGCGCAAAAGTTATTCGTTCTTAATTTTAATACTAATGTCTAACGCAATGGTATTGAGATTATAGAATCGTTATATGTATAACTTCCCTTATATTTTAGAAAAGATTTAGAAATATAACTCAATTTAGATAAAATAGTCAAATTTAAGTTACAGCATATAAAGGAAATTATTTACACTGGTTGTGAATTAATAATGAGTTTAAATAAAGCATTTCAAAGAGTTAAAATGGTTTGGTAGTTATTCATTTAAAATTAATCTAATAATTTCCTTGAAATACCTTATTTACGTAATTTATCTATTTTGGTCGCATTTATTTAAACCTAATTTTTAAATTTAATATGTATAAAAAGTCCTTATTATGTATTGATTAAGGGGTACATAGTTAATTAGCAGGTTAAATAACCGTGTATAATAGGAACGGTAAGCAAGTGTTGAATGTTATAATTCATATATTAAAATTAAAATCTGTAATAATAATGAATAAATTCGGATTATAATTAATAAAATCGAATATTCGTTCTTACTCCGTGGTTATAATAAAGAAGCAAGATGGATAAGCGAATAGTAACTAAATCTAGTAATTTTTAAAATGGCGGGACGTCACACCCCCCTCTGGGCCCTCTGGATCCTCGAGATCCTATGGTGAGTTCGGATGAGAGCGGGGGGAGCGGGGGACGGGATTTTTTGATCAAAATAATAATAATAGTAATACCAACTTCAATTTTAATTTTAATAACAAAGCTGATGGGGACGAGTCGTTGCCTTCCGGTCTTTCTGCTTGGGTATCCTCCCCTTCGGGAGCTGGTCCTTCTACTTCTGGCCCCTCTCCTCCCTTGCTATTCCCTAATGGCAGGGTTCCTCATGTCTCTGGTGACAGGCCATGGGGGAGGCTTCGGGCTCGTCACCCTTTTTCTCGTTGATTCGGGGCTTTTTGGGGCTGGACTCTTCTCAGCTTTATATGCTTACTCAGGTGATATGTACGTTAATTGAAAAACTTGAACCGATATTCAAACTTTTTGGTATTCACGACGTGGTGACCGAACTGATGAGCAGATTTCTGATTGTGCCGGCTATGGAGCTTTTGGGGGTCCCCGCGTAATGGCTGATCCTTCTTCGCCTGGTGGCTCGGTCTCGACGCTCCTTGCTGTTCTTCAGTGGAATTGTCGCTCCATTTTAAGTAAACTTGACGTTTCCCCTACTTTGTTTGGGGAATATGACGTTTTAGCACTCTCTGAGACATGGTTGACCATTAACTCACGTTTTAAATTACATGGCTTTGACATCTTTCGTAAGATTCGGACACTCGTCAGGGAGAAGGCCTCGCCTTGGCGATTCGTTCCTCCTTGTCCTATTCTTACTTAGACAACTCTATTTCATTCGAGGGTAGATTAACTCAAGCCATCTCGATTCATTATACTAATTATAATCTCACCATAATTTCTATTTATAGGTACCCTACTGGCTCTCTTTCCTCGAATGAATACGACGCCTTGTTTTCTTTTTGTCGCTCCTTTTCACATGTTATTTTGTTGGGTGATTTTAATGCACACCATTTTGAATGGAGTGATGGACCTTCGGATGATGAGGGTGAATTGTTATTTTCCTCGGCTGTTGAGGCTTCTTTTACCTGCCTAAATGATGGCTCGCCTACTTTTATGACGCGTCCGGGACAGAGATCTTCGGCTATTGACTTGACTTTCTTTTCACCCTCAATCATTGGCCTTTGTGAGTAGTCGGTCCTTGAAGACACTTTTCTTAGCGACCATTTTCCAACCGCCATACTTTTTAATCGCCCACCTGTTAGGAAATCCTTTTTTTCCCACAGAATCAAACATTCCAAGTCATTGGATGAGCAGTTTGTTGAGAATCTTTGCTCCTCGCTGGGATCGTTGAGAGAAATTCTCAGCGACTCGACGTCGAGTCCGGCTCACAAATATAATTCTTTTGCGGAACATCTCCTTCGACACTGGCCTTCCTCTCCTCAAAAACCATTTTTATCCGAGGAGCCCCCTCCCCGAAACGGGAGAAGGAGATTTTCTCCTCCATCACCTTGGTGGAATGAGACGTGCCAGCAGGCTGTCAACACTAGACGCTCTTTTCTTTCTGTTTTCAAAAAACAACCCACTTTCCAAAACTACCTTGCCTTTAAAAAGCAAGAAGCTGTAATTAGGAGAACATTGAGGACGGAGAAGAGAAGGGGTTGGAGAGAATTCTGCAGCAAACTTAATCCTAATACTCCCATTTCTTACCTGTAGCGATTTATTAAGCGGTTTAGATCTCGCCAGTTTGAGCCTGCTGTCTTGCCTTTTTCTCATTCTGCTCATTCATTATCTATTCAAAATACCACTTGACTCCCTCTGCCCTCCATCCGCTTTTAATCGCTCTTTTTCATTCATTAATGACTTCCCATCTAACTATTCCTGTAAGATATTCGACGATCCTTTCACCATTCAGGAACTAATTTCATCTATACGCAATTTAAAGACTCATACATCTCCAGGATACGATAAAATAAACAATAAAATGCTTTCTTTATTTACCGGAAGAATACCTTCATCTTTTGCTTGACATCTATAATTCTATTTTTAATACGGGCTTTTTTCCGGATGCTTGGCGTCACTCTCTTGTATTTTTAATCCCTAAATTATTTCCTAGTAAATTCCGACCTATTTATCTAACTTCATGTCTCCTTAAAGTTTTTAGCGTCGTCTACAATAGGTGGAGTAAGCGTGGCGTAAGAAGTAAGAGTAGAAGTAAAAGAGCTATTTCCGGTTTAAGAGAGCTAGAGTAAGGGCGTAAGCAAAATGAATTATTTTTATTTCTTACGCTTACTCTTACCCTTACTGCCTGCCCCAAGTCTTGAGTTAGTGCAACGGTACAGTTCAATATGGCAGCTTAGGTAAAACGAGAATAACAGTACAATTTAACCTAAAATTAAAAATTATATTATCTTTATATTTACTTTTTTAAGTTATGTTAATACTTAAGATTTTTCACTCTATATTCATCTTTCACTATTATTTTGCACATATATAATTGGTAGTAATATAATAGAAGTATAAAATACTGTGATAAATAATATTTTTTATATACGCAATAACAATAGCGACAGACAAACATATAGTAAAAAATCTTAAGTATTAACATAACTTAAAAAAAGTAAATATAAAGAGAATATATGATATATATGTTTTTTTAGCTTTTTGAATTTATATTTTTAATTTATATTAATTATATTTATACTTTAGTCGTATAAGAAAAAGTTTTCGACATGGAAAAAAGAAGTGTTGTAATTGTAATTGCTTTATTAATAATTGTTATTAATAATTATTTATTAATAATTGACAGTTCGGTGAAACTTTGAAAAAAATGGATTATGAAGCAGATGTGATTGATGATGATCATAATGATGTATCGGAAACGCAAATCAACATGTGGAGAACATTGATAGAACTAGTGAAAGCAAATCCTGTGTTGTATAAAAAAAATCTGAAGGGATATAGTAAGAAAGGTGATAAAGATTTGATATGGGCCAATATTGGGGAATTATTGATACCACCAATGACTGATAAGTGGAATAAATAATAATGATAAAGCGAGGTTAGGACTTGTATGTGGCCGGTGAATAGAAGTTTTAAATACTAATAACTGTATTGTGTGTTCGTAGGAATTGCTGCACAAAAGGAGTTTTATCGCTTGCGACAGAAGTTTCGAAAAGAGTGCCGAAAAGTTATACAAACGCAGGCAAGATCTGGTGCGGGTGCAGATCATGTGCAATATGAATCAGATTGGATACTATATGATGATTTAATATTTCTTGTTGATTATATTCAACCTAGAAAGTGAGTAAATTATTTTTATATTCATATTTTTGCTTCGTAAAAAACAGTAGTTAAATGTCTGTTATTTAATTATGAGTAATTAAAATAACTAACATATTGTATTTGTTTATATAGAACAACATCAAATTATCAACGGTCTATGCACCAAACAGTTCTCGCTTCACAAACTTCACTTCTTGCCCCATCGACATCTTCAACATATTTATCTAAACAAACTTCTAATGATAGCATATATGGAATGCTGACTTGTGCGAATCTTTAACAGGTGAGAAGTTATAGCGCACATTACATACAGTTATTATATACTGACTGGCGTTTATAAGTTGGATTTTGATAACTTGGAATATTAGTCATATTAATGTTTTTAAATAAATGCAGATTTTTGAAGGTACAAATGATGAAAAGCTCTCTGCAGTGCATTCCATGGCAGCATGTTCTCCTTCATTTGCTTCAACCAAATCATCAACTTCAGACAATATATCTGTAAGCACGTTGAAAACCTTGGCTGCTAATGTAACTATCAACAAAAAGACACCATCAACAGACATATCTAAGAAGAGGAAGCGAGAAACAATTGATGAAGTGGATAGAGTAATGGTTCAGTCTTCCCAAAATATCTCCTCATTGGCAAGCACATTGGAGACTGCACTTAAAACTTCGGCATTAAAACAACAGCTCACATCTGAATGTACTCCTGCAGCATAGACTTATACAAATAGACTGCGCATGCAATGCAAAGCGCTGGGGGCAATATAGGAGTGGTGGGGATAGCGCTTGTGGGCTTCCGTCTCTTTCTAACCGCATGCTGTCTCTCTCCATCGTGGAAAGTGGTGGGGCGGACAAACCCTCCACCGCGCCCCGGGCCATGGCTCTACTCACGCTATGAAAGTAATGTCCTCCCTCCTCCCAGAGCCAATTTTCTAAGAACCCTTTCCATTCTTATCTTGCGATTTTAATTGAATAAAATTAGATCTGATATACAGATAATCTAGAATGATATTCTGTATGTAAATCAACCCAACCTAAACTCTTGAACATAAGCCCCCCCTCCCGAATACACCTTAAATATAAGTTTCATATATCTATTAATGATGAACATCGTAACCTAGTCGACTAAGGTGTTCACTCGCATCCATGTAATCCGGGTTCGAATCCCAGGTACATTTTTTTTGTAATAATTGTAATAATTATTATTAGTTTTATTATTATTTTTATTTTGATTGTTATTATTCTGTAAAAATAAAATGATTCGAATTACGTTGTAAACAGCATTTTCGCTGCCCAGCAAACACACATGTAACTGATATTTCTTGTTATATAACCAGAAAGTATCTGGGAAGTATCATTGATATGTAACTAATTTATGTATATGACACATAAATGTGTTCTGTTTAATACATTTCATATATGTAAAAATATCATATAAAAGATACGTAAATATACTACTATTTGATACGTATCATTAACTGTGTAACGATATGTATCGTATTTGTAGCTGATATATATAAGTGATATTTAAATTGGACGTGATAGAACGAATTGTGCGTTTGTGCAGTCGCATTAAAAGTTATTCACAAGTATCGCGCACATGATTGCAAAATATATCTGAGGTAAAATATAAATTTTAAATAACTTATACTATACTAATAATAATAATCTTAAAGTGCGTAAAAATGTCGAAAAGAAAAGATTTTTGTGATTTATCAGTTCGCCAACAGCGTAGACGTATTGTTAACCTAACAAATGAAGAGGTTAACCTCACAAGATGCAGTGAATTATTAAATGCATCGACAAATAGTATTGTTAATAATGATGCTGCTTTTATACCGAATCTTAATAATGATGGTATTGAATCTAAAAGTGATTACAGTAATTTCGAATCGTTAAGTGATATCGAAAGCGACGAAAATTTTACCGTAAAAATGCAAAATGATTCGACACATGATATTACATATGATATACGTTTTTGGATTTTAAAATATAATATAAGTCATGCAGCAGCAAATGATCTTCTAAAAATTTTGAAAAAGTACGAACATCATAAAAGTTTGCCAAAAGATGTCAGATCTTTAATGAAAACACCACGAAATATACAGTCGAATATTACACATATTTTCGAAGAGGGCAAATATATACATTTTGGTTTAGAAAAAGGCATCAGAGCTTCTATATACAAACATTATGTTAATTTACCGCAAGAAATATGTTTAAATTTTAATATAGATGGATTACCTGTATCCAAAAGTTCTTCTGGGCAATTTTGGCCTATTTTAGCTGCTCTAGTGGATAATGCCTTGTATACTGAGCCATTCACAGTTGGAATTTATTATGGTACCAAAAAACCAGAAAATGTAAATATTTTCTTACAGCCATTAGTTTTAGATATGTTGCTTATAAAGAATCAGTGTGGTATATTTATAGATGAAAAACTTATTCCTGTAAAAATAAATGCTTTTGTGTGCGATGCACCAGCAAGAGCTTTTATCGCTGGAATAAAAAATCATACAGGATATTTTGACTGTACAAAATGTATATGCGAAGGTGACTTTATTGAAAATAGGGTTGTTTTTCTAGAGTACAAATGCTCTCTTCGAACAGATATGTCATTTAAAAACAGAATGCAACCTGAGCATCATCGTATATCATCTATTCTTGAAAATACAGGCATCGGTTTGGTATCGCAATTACCCTTGGATTATATGCATTTAGTATGCTTAGGAATTATGAAAAGATTATTGCAATTCTGGGTACGAGGCAAAATGCATGTTCGAATAAAATCACACTTACTACAAAGTACTTCAGATACATACAAAAATATGAAAAAATTTATACCATTAGAATTCGCTAGATACCCTCGAAGCTTATTTGAAATCGATAGATGGAAAGCTACGGAGTTCCGTTTGTTTATACTTTATACAGGACCAGTATTATTAAAAGATGTTTTGTCAAAACGTGTTTATGAACATTTTCTATGCTTAAGTGTATCAATTAGAATACTTTGTCATACACATATGTGTATTAGTCACCGATCATATGCACAGGAATTATTAATTTATTTTGTAAAAAATTATGGTGAATTATATGGTGTGCAACACATTTCATATAATGTACACAATCTTATACATCTTTCAAATGATGTGGCCTTGTTTGGTCCATTGGATTCATTTAGTGCATTTAAATTTGAAAATTATTTATATAAATTAAAGAGTAAAATACATATAGGAAAAAATTATTTAGAACAAGTATTCAACAGATTACATGAAACAGCACAAATAGTAAAAAAAAATGAAATAAAAGTATATCCCATTATTCATTTTAAACATGCACAAAATGACATGATCGAGAAAATAGAATTTGCAGGATTTAGTTTATCTACAAAAGAATTTGACAATTGTTGTTTTCTACATGATGGATCAGTAATCTTTGTGGAAAAAATTTTATATCAAAATCATATTTCCTTCTCTGGTAAATGTGTTACAAAATGGAAATCTTTCTTTAATACGCCTTGTAACTCTATCAATTTATCTATTCTTCTGATATCTAAAACTGACATGTTTGCTATCAATTCAGTAAATATAAATCAAGTGCGTGAAAAGAATGTCGTTATTGAAACAGAATCTGGAGATCTTGTAATATTGCCTTTTATACATAATTTTTATTAATATATAATACACTTATTAATATAATATACTTATTATCATTATTCACACTAAAATATGCACACTAATATAGAAATTTTGGAATTTATGTTTGTGGTATGCTATAGAAAATATAAGAAGAAATATGGTTTCCTATGCTGTAGTGCAGAGCTCGGCAAGAACTGCACATTTCGGCCGATTTTCAGCTGGCTCCGCCTAGCGCGTCCCCCCTTACCTCGCCGTCCCGCGCAAAGCCTACGAGTCGCTCGGCGCTCAGGAGCGTATGGCAATAGCTTTCCACGTCACCCATACTATTATCGACGCGTTTTTTTTTAAGTGGTATCCCCAGTAGGCCTAATCCACTGATGACTAAAATGACTCTTTAACTAATTACATAAGACGATAAAGTTTATCACGTCTTATGCGATTCGCTACATGCCGTATGCAAATAAATGTTTCTGATCTCGCTTGTAAAAAATCCCGAAAGTCATAAATATTCATCATATCAATTATTATTTATAATTCCGTGCAATTAGTTAAAGGGTCGTTTCATCAGTGGATTAGGTCTACTGAGGATACCACTTCAAAAAAACGCGTCAACAATAGTACCTCATGGGTGACGTGGAAAGCTATTGCCATACGCCCGCTCCTGAGCGCCGAGCGGCTCGTAGGCTTTGCGCGGGACGGCGAGGTAAGGGGGGACGCGCTAGGCGGAGCCAGCTGAAAATCGGCCGAAATGTGCAGTTCTTGCCGAGCTCTGCTGTAGTGCATTTTATAAAAAGCAATGATTACTCAGAGATACCATCATCATGGCTCACTGAAGAAAAAAATAAATGCTGGTGGCCCAAAGTTAAAAATGTATCACAATATATTAATTACAGCGTAACACCTGATCCAACAACATGGGAAATTTATGACGTAGAGGTTGAAGGATTTTATGGTATATATTTTACTGTTATGAATAATTGTGCAAACTATTATAGTAAATTTTCCTATGCTTAACTGAAATTATTCTTTATTGAGAAATAGAAATAGAAATTATAAATTCTCTCGTAAAATAAATTATTATGTTCAATAGGAACTGTGCAACTGGCAAGAAAAAAAGCCGAAAACAGCAACTGCACTTCTACTGAAGAGAATGTTTTTCGTGGGAAAGGTCAGCGAAAAAAAAAAAGAAAGCTTTTGACCAGCGACAACAGTGAAAGTTCTGAAGATTTAGAATCAAAATGTAACAAGAAAAGAAATTATGTTTGTTCCATTTAAAAATAGTAATAACAAAATTATTAAATTTTAGTTATGATGAAATTTTATTTTATAGCATACTTTTTCAAATAATAAAAATAAATACAATTTTACAACACAATAGAGAAGTGAAAGTTATATAATACGTAATACTAAAATAATTTTCTTCTAAATATTAATATTTTATTACAGGTTATAAGCCTCCTCCACAATTAAATAAGAAAAGCAATGTGATTAAGCAAAATTACAAAATTTCAACACTTAATGTATCACATGACAAGCTACCGGACTCTATTCTGTCTTCTTCAACAACAGATATTTGCAATGGAGAATTTTCTTGTACAGATGTACTAGTTAATGAAAACAATCAGAATAGCAATGTCATAACATTGAACGAGATTCCTGTTGTAATAGCGTCTAATTCAACATATACACCACCAGCTTTTGAAATAGAAGGTATGTTTTATTTCTTATACATACATATATATATATATATATATATATATATATATATATATTTGCATGGTGTATGTATATATGTTATTTATATGTTATTATGTATTATATATTTATTTATATATTATTATGTTTGCATGTGTGTGTGTGTGTGTGATTTAGAACCAATTCGTCCAAATAGAGAAGTTACCTCTGGTATTCAAAAACCAGTCACGGATGTCAGCTCAAATACCTACAGTAAGAAAAAACTTCCAAATATTTACATTAATATTTACATTAATATTTACATTTTACCTTTTTATATATTATTATATATTTGCATGTTTTTATATATATTGCAGACAAAGTACAAAGAATTCTACAAGAATGTACGTTAATAAAAATGTACGTAAAAAGTATTGATATCCGACTGAAATGTCTCGAGAATAGAAAGAAAAAAAATGATTCCGATGGAGAGGAAGTACAAATAATACAAGATCAATTGCCTATAAAAACAATTGATCAATTGATTCATTTTGATCAATCTATGGAAAACGAGAATGTTAAAAAAGCATTTGTATGTTATTTGGATATATTAGCTGCTTTTGCGACAGAATCAAAATGATCCAGAATAAAATGAGCCTGCGTTGTGATTGGTCAAATCTGAAATATCATTGAATTTTCTATTTATTCTGGATCAATTTGATTCTGTCGCAAAAGCAGTTATTGTATATTACAAAAATGCTTTAGTAGTTAAAATTAATAAATATTTTCAGATAATGTATGTCAAACGTATTGGTGGTGGAACAGACAACGTAAAAGTAATATTCAAAAGAATTTTTACAAATCACCTTGGTACAAAGTGCAGTTGGTTAGGCCAACGAAACAATTTCAAGATTTGTGATCTTTCACTAATAACAGTAATTCAAAGTAAGTACTTCCATTTGCTTATTCAATTAATTTCAAATATATTTTATTTATGTGAATATTATTTTTTTGCTTATACAAATATTTTAAGATGCAGTATTGTCGACGCATTACAATTTTCAAGAAATACATTTTCAAAAGGCAGCGAGTGAATGGTTCCGTCTTAGCAAATTAAGGCTTTCAAGAGAACAAAAATATAGACATGAAGCAGACGCAGGTGATAACAAAGAAAATTAAAATAAATAATGAAAATTGATTTTCAAATATTTTTCTTAATATAATTATCTTATAAGTAACAATATGAGTTCAAATGCTGTGAAAAATGTGCAATGTAAAAAAAAGTGCAGTGTGTACAAATGTAGTACAAAACAAATCAAATCTTACATATACATATCACACATGTACACATCACTTACACATGCATATATGACTAGTAACTTGAATAATTTTTGCCATTGCTATAGAATTTATAAAAAATATTACTTTATTTTATTTATATATATTATATACATACACACACACACATATATATTTATATTTATATACAAGAGTGCATATTTTTTTTTAATTTTATAGTACTAAAATAATAAATTTTGTTTTTTAGCAAATGCTGAAATATATATATGATGTAGGTTAAATTTCATGATACTTCAGACTATATTTTGATATTCAGCATGACATTGTAAAATTATTATTTATCTTTGAAATTTTATTTTATCCTTTTTTTCTCAAGTGTATGTATGTTAAATATTTATAAAAAATAAATATATACTTGTGATATATAATTACTATACATTAATATAAGATTTTAATACATTTTTTAATTATTTATGTAATTTCTGTTATATAATATTTGCCAAAAATATAAAAAATAACTTAAGAATAAAATAACATTACAATATGGCTAATCCTCTAAATGATACCTATTAATTCCTAATAAACACGCAATGTGGATATACATTAAGTAACATAAACATTTCAAATGCATATATATAACTATGTGTAAATGTGTAACAACATACATTTTGTTCATATGTAAGGCGCACAATAGAGAAAATATAATGAGTAAGAATTATATTTTAAAATAATAAAATCGAAAAAATTTTTCTGATATAAAAATATAAATTCGGCTATAAAGGATTATAGTAAGGGCTAATAAACTAGTAAGAGCCTTTTATATTCGAATTTGTATTTGTATATCACATTTTTTCGAATTTATTATTTTAAAATAATTCTTACTTCTAATATTTAATTAATATTTATTCCTAGTATTTTCTCTATTGTGCGCCTTACATATGAGTAAACTATATGTAACACATTTATACATTGTTATGCATTTGAAATGTATATGTTACCTAATGTTCCGTAACTGAAATATATTTGTTATGTGATATAGTGGTATGATTATATAACATAAATATAATATTTAAAGTTCAGTGATACATATCTCTGATATATCAGAGAAGTACTTTTGTTGCTGACATTTAGCAGTACATGTAACATACATGTATTTTACTTATTATGTAACTATGTTACTTGTGATATATAATGTTATAACTCTGAGAGATATATATTACATCTCTGTGTTTGCTGGGTGTAAAGTCGAATCAGATTTACGTAATTTTTATTAATTAAATAATTAAGTTTCTACTAATATAATCAAAATAGTTTTTAGTAATTCTATCAAAATACTTTATACACTCACGGTACAGTAACTGTATATTTTATATAAATATATTTCTTAACTTTAATAATAAGATTTTTAATCAAAAAATGTGAACAAACATTTTGCTACGTACCAAAAAATTGCATACAATTTATATAAAGCACATTGAATAGAATTTTTGTAATATTTAATATTATTTAAATGCGATAGTATGAGCATAATAAAATACATAAAAAAATTTTGGACTTGATAAATATTTATAGACATTAAAAGACATTTATTGTAATTGCAAATAAAATTCAATAACAATTTGTTAGCTTACAAAAATTATGCACATTAATTTCTACAAGAAACATTTTCCAGGATGAAATACAGTAAAATTAAAGGAAACAAATTATTTTAAGAGGGAAAAATAATAAAACGAGAGTGAATAGAATTGAACTTTTTATTGTATAGAATGTGAATTATGCATCATTTTGGTAAATCTTAGCTCTGTATACAACAGAGTTACGAAATTCTAAAAAGCATCAAAAAAAGAATTGAACATAAACAAATATTATTAATGAAACAAATTTTATTGATTTTTGTATATGACTAGCCTGTGATGAAAAGTCCTTACGCGTTTAACTTTCTGTTGAGCAGAGCTAGCTTCGTGATGTAACCTAACAGTAAAATATTTTTTAAAAATATTATCAACCAATTGTGCTTTGTGACTAAATAAAATATCCTTTTCAACATAGATATGTAAATTTGAAAAAATATTCATAGGTAACACTAATCGCCTGGCACGCAACACCATAATATCAACAATGTTTCTATGACTAAAAAGGTTTGGCGTCATTCTTACGATTTTTTCAGCAACTTTGCAAATACTTACTACATCTTGACTAGGAAATACTAAGCCACTCTTTATCTTCTCCACTGTGTATCTTCTCTTTGCCTATTTTTTATATTTATTAAATCACAGGAAGTTTCTTGTGTCTCTAAGCAATCAAGACACATCTGACAATGCAATGTTTTTTTAATACTATACACGATATAACCATCAATGTAAGTGACGACATCGTAATGGTAATCAGTCCAAGACCAACCATTACTACCTACATAATCATGATCAATATCAACCATAATATTTTCCGATTCACGAGCATTCAAACTTTTAAAATTTTTCGTTCTAATTATTGCTGTGCCGTCCTGTGCGCTACAATTGCCTTCAGAAACCTCTATAGTATTTACATGACTGACTAGTTTTTTATAAGATGCTTGAAATTGATAACAAGTCAGGTTGTTATTAAATCCTCCCATTTTTCTAATACATGAAAAAAATGTCTCCAGATGGTCCTGTGACAATTTGTATGTTAACAAATAATCCATAAGCTTATATTGAAATAAATATCTTGAAAGATTTAATACGTTTTTTAGCCCAGTAATTATTCCCCAAAATCCAATTCGACGACTACTTGCCAGTATGTCTTTGATTTTGCCATTTTCATTTACTTTTAAATATTTGATGTAATCAACTAAGTAATCAATGTGTTTTTCTAATTGTTCAAGATTTAATTTGGATATGCCATTTTTCAACTCAGTTTTTCCAAACCTACATCTTGAGTTGAGAATATCAAAAGCATCATTAAAATTTTTGCAAAATAAAGCGGTTGCACTTGCTTCACTAAAATCGAGTGATTTCATTTCTAAGTATCTTAAAGCGTCAGATACTCGCGTACTTAAAGTTTGCACCGCTAATTTGACCTTCATTTTTTCGCCGTAAAAGTCAATGTGCCTTCGCCTAATTTTTGTACCTGGATGCGTACCTTCTTGCTCTTGAAAATTCACTAATTTTACAATAAAACGCCAAGTAATTGTTTTCTTGTCACTATCAATGAAGTCGTATTTAGCTAATGTATTTCGAACTAATTTTATCATATGGCATGCATCGGGTATGACAATAACTGGTTCATTTGTCGCTAGGTGTTCAAATGAACATTTTTGATCGATGTCCGTAGTATTAGCGCCAAGTTCAGAAACCATACTCAAATTACTTGATGCACCATCGAAAGTGACAGAACGAACGTCACTTATTCCATTTTCATGGAGTGTTAACAGGATTTCCTGTAGCATATTTGATCTTGCCTGGCCACAAAGACTTTTTATAAAATAATACGCTACTGGAGTTTTAAAGTGTCCATTTAGACACACGAGCATAGCCACCAAAGCATAAGAAGCTTCTTCAGAATTGTTTTTTCCCAGACCTCCAATGTCAACTAATCCATACCATACATTATGTTTCAATTCAATGAGCTTTTTTACTGACATTTCATCCAATTGGAGTCCAAATTGCAACTCTTTCCCATTTAAACGTTCTGCTTCGATCATGTTTTTCAAGCTTATTAGTACATTTTTACTAATGCCAGGACCAAGATGAATATTCCCAAACCATCTTCTAACCGTTTGAGGACAAGGCAAAGCTTTTAAAAATTGATCCCTTACGAATTTGTATGCTGCACTTGAATAAAATAATAAGGAACAAGCAAAGTCTTTTAGTGCTGGTGAGTAGGAGTTACATTTTTTGGTAGAAAGAATGTTTTTCATTATTTCAGGAAGAGCGGGTGAGGAATGTAACTGAAAACAAAAAAAGAAAAACGAAGATTATGTAATAACAAAACAATTGATAAATTTTTATTTTTATTTTGTAAAAATCCTAAATAAAGGAAAAAAAATTACAATCTTACTTTTACAGCATCAAGTCCTTCTTTAGAAATAAGTCCAACTTCTTTTAAGTGATCCAAAAGATCTTCGAAAGTGCTGACTTTTTTCTTGAAACGACTAATGTTTTTATCTTTTAATTTCAGTTTGTTTTTTGTTTCTTTGTAATATTTTTCAACGACTAGAAAAGCTTGATCTGAAGTAAAATCATCCCTAGTCACATCTCCAATATATCTAATGTGTCTAGGACGCTTTGGGATATGCTTAAACTCTGAATTACTGTTTCTTCTGCAAATAATTCGTAAAACTTTAAATAACAATTTTTCTTTAGACATTGCATTACTACAAATAATATTGGTGTACATATAAATATAAAAAAAATTAATAAAGTTTTACCTTTTTAATGATACAGGATTAGCATTTGGAGAGAGAGCAGCTGTTGAGTTGTCAATGGGATTCTCTGATCTTGATTCTAAAGTTATTACTTCATTATCTGTTTGCGAGTCTTCATTATGCGACTCTTTATCACAGATGTTTTAGCTGCAATGATATAAATATATTACAAAATAGTATGATCTTCAAACATTCAAAAGATTTTTCAAAAAAAAGTACGTACCAACTTTGGAAACATTCTTGGTTATTTTGAAGATCAGTTGAAGAAGATGTAGCAAGTAATAAATTTTCACATAATATATTACTACTACTATCTAATGTATCTGGTGTAGTTGGTTCAATATTTTCTGCCTCACTGCTATACATGGAATTAATATTAGTCAGACATGAATAACTGCTTTGAGTACAAAAGATTATTCAATACATTTTTACCTTGTATTCAACATTAATGATGGAACAGCATCTGAGGTCAAACTCTTACAGATTTTGCCATTTTGAATTTTGTACTTAAAATCTGTAGACTTGAAATGCCTGCTGCAAACTCGGCTGCTCTTACTTACAGTTTTATTAATAGCTGAAAGCCATTCGACCTTGGAGCTTTCATTAGATGGCAAACTAAAATTACAAAAGCAAGACATGTTAATACATAACCTCAAATTAGAATAAATTAGTTTACCTACAAAAGCATTTAAATGTATACTTGCCTATGAAACGAA